GGCATTAGAGTCCCGCAGTTGCTCTATTTCCACGCGAGTTGCAGGATCCTATATCTCCGAGTCAGCGGGATCATGAAACATGAAACATGAATCATATTGACCTGGTCCCATTGGAGCCATTGCTCAGTCAGGGCGGAAATTGATTGCTATAGAACAGTTAGAATAATTTAATCAAGACCAAATTATAGTCAAGTCTCACTGCCATGTCAAAAATGTACAATATGCCTGTATGTTGGTAATGTGAAAGGTGGACAATCACATGGGCTGATCGGGTCCCCGCTGTTATCCACCTCCGCCCCATAGCCCTTGCAACGTTTCAAGTTCTGCCTCTTTTTTTAGCCTCATTCCTGTTTCTTTTGTTTACTTGCATCTTGCATCTTGCATCTTGCATTTTGCATTTTTTGAGTTGTATAGTTCGACCCTCAGCAATGTCATTGTAATCCCGCGTTGTTATCGGACCCTACGCACATCCACCCTCTCACCGCACCTCATACCATGGAGAAGCCCGCATCCCGGCCGTCCCGGAAGGACACTCTCTTGACTCGACGATATATCGAAAGCCTCATTGCGGAGGGCAAGCATGTCATAATCTTCGAGGACCGTGTCCTCAGGGTAGACCCTTTCATCAGCTATCACCCCGGGGGGGAGAAGCCAATCAAGCACATGGTGGGCAGGGATGCCACAGATGAGATCAACGCGTATGTTCTGGAACGACAAATACCACGACCTCTGATCAGTCTAATTGAAACCCGTCTAATACAGACTACACTCCGAAGAAGCCCGACAGCGTATGCGCTCGTACCAGATTGGACGAATTGAAGGAATATGGATCAACTTTCTACCCCCAATCCAGGGCGGCAAGTTCCGCGCCTATGCCGAAGACGCATGCTCGAGTGATGAGGATTCAACAACTCCAGAATTATGCAGTGGCTCCAGTCAAGACGGATCAGTTCCTCCCTCGCCGATATTCGATGCGGTCGACTCGAAATCCACAGTTCGTCAACGGAAACCGACCGGAACCGCTTCGACCGAGCAAACGGAGGCCAAGCCTGCCTTCTTGGATGCGAGAACTCGGGAGGAAATCGTCTTCGACACTGCCAAATACCCCTCCTTGGATACCGCAAGTCAGGAAGAGATCAAACGGAAATATCGCGAACTGAACGAGCGTATCAAGGCCGAGGGACTTTACGACTGCAACTACTCTTGTTACTTCGTTGAATGCTGTCGGTACACACTTTTTGCAGGTCTTTCCTATACCTTCCTCCGCATGGGATGGTGGGCGACCTCGGCATTCTTCCTCGGCTGTTTCTGGCATCAGCTTGTGTTTACCGCCCATGATGCTGGCCATATGGGTATTACACACAATTTCCATGTGGATACTCTCATTGGAATGTTCATCGCAGACTATCTCGGTGGATTGAGTCTCGGGTGGTGGAAACGAAGCCACAACGTTCACCACATCGTGACCAATGAGCCAGAGCATGACCCAGATATCGAGCATATCCCGTTCTTCGCTATCTCGCATCGCTTCCTCACGAGTCTCCGGAGTACCTATTATGATCGAATCATGACGTTCGACGCCCCGGCTCGATTCTTACTCAAATTCCAAAATTACTCTTACTACCCCATCATGATGCTTGCTCGGTTCAATCTGTACGCCTTGAGTTGGGAGTATCTGCTAAAGGGCCAAGCTCCTAAAAGGGGCCCGGCTTGGTGGCATGTTTGGTTTGAGCTTGTCGGACAGGTCTTCTTTTGGACTTGGTTTGGCTACGGTGTGATGTACAAGACGCTTCCTGATGCAAGCAGCCGTATCATCTTCCTTCTCGTCTCACACGTCGTCTCCTCCCCACTCCACGTCCAAATCACCTTATCCCACTTCGCGATGTCGACCGCCGACCTGGGTGTTGGCGAGTCCTTCGCGCAGAAGATGCTCCGTACCACTATGGACGTCGACTGCCCAACATGGCTGGATTTCTTCCACGGCGGATTGCAATTCCAGGCCATTCACCATCTCTACCCGCGGATCCCGCGCCACAACCTACGTCGTACGCAGAAGTTCGTCATAGAGTTCTGTCGTGATACTGGTATTCCCTATGCCATCTTCACGTTCTATGATGGTAACAAGGAGGTTATCAGCCGGCTTGGTGACGTCGCGAAACAGGTCCGCCTCATGGAGGAGTGCCGCAAGTCCATTGCCGAGGGCGGCGTCTTCTCAGATCACCACCACTGATATCAAGTGTCAGGTCCTTGCTGGCCAAGTACGAGTTTTCTGAGTAAACATATTATCACGACTGCCTATACTGCATTGTAGTTATATGCATTGAGGTATATTAACGAATCACTTGAATGCGATCTGTTTTGATACGTTGTGGCTCTTGTTAGAGAGGCCCAACGTATTTTTTGTAAATTACATCCATGGCCACTATCAGATATGAAATATAAAGAATGATCAAAGCTTTTATGCCGCAATGCATCCATATTAACCAATCTCATCTCTTCGTATGCTTAGCCGGGTAACCCACCGCCACGCGCCATCTTCTTCGCGTGTTGCTGTCGACGGTTGTGATTCGCCCGACTACCCTTATTCTCTTCCTTCCTCTGCCGTGACGCTGCACTGTCCTTATCTGGCTGTCCCTGGCCGCCAGACGGAGGACCACCACCACGGCCACCGCGACCACGACCGCCACCACCCCGTCCTCGGCCGCCACGTCCACCGCCTCCTCGACCACCTCGCGAACCAGCATGACCAGAGGGCTCGCCCTCATCGGAACCCTCCCCATCCTCACGAGGCTGCGGCCTCCTATAAGATGTGGAACGCAACTCAGGCTGGTTAAGTGACCCAGCACCAGCCAACCCGCCAGCGTCCATAGCCAACCGGTCTTCGAGTTTAGCGAGACGCTTAGGATCACGCGTTAGCATAACAGCCCAGCCCTCGATAGCCTCGTCAGTCATTTCGGTCTCGCGCTTCAACGACGCGCGCGGCTGAGAGCGGCGGGTCGCTGAATCACGAGCAAAGAGTCCTGGATTAGACTTGTATGTTCGGAAAAGCACTGTTTCGATATCTGCTGCGCGGCGGTTGCGCTCAGCTGGGTCGGCTTCGCCGTCTGCGCCACCTGTGGCTCCGTCGATGGCGCCGCCTACGTCGGCTGTGTCGTAGGTATCGTCGCGCTCGTCATCATCTGAGTCGAAGGTTGCTAGTGCGGAGAGAATTGCTGCTTTGTTTGCGGCGTGTTTGCTGTGGTCTGCGAGGATTGTGTCGGCTGTTTGGTCTGCGTTGACGCGGCCGAAGTGGAGTTTTCCTTGCGCTTCGCCGGAGCGGCTTAGTTCGGCGATGTCCACGTCTTTATCGAAGATATTCTTGCGGGTCGGGATTGGCGCAAACGTTGGTGTTGGCTGGGGTGGGAGATTGCTATGGTAGAGTTCAGCTGGGGGAGGTAGTTGCTCCGATCGATCTAGAGACTGGAGCTCCAGGGGAAGCGAGTCGTCGAGAAGTTGGGCGACTATAGTCTCGGGATTGTCGTTGTAGAAGTCCAATAGCCGTACAACGAATGCGGAGCCAAGATCTGGGAAGAGGTCCTGTACTTGAGTAACAAGTGACATCTTGTGTGCGTGGAGTTCTCCTGGAACAATTGGGGCCGAAGACACCTCTTTTCCCTTGTCGACCTTCTTGCGTCTTTGGTACCGGTGGTGTAGTGATTTTGATTCCACTTGATAGGTGCGCAAGCTGGCAAGGAGGTCTTGTCCCCGTTTCTGGGGGTGAATGCTCAGATACTTCTCCAGCCGAATAAGCAAGTCCGAGCTGCAGATTAGATCTGAGAGTAGAGTGGCTTCCTTCTTCATTTTTGGTGCTCCCACTCGAGCACCGGCTTTCAGGCTGAACAGCTGATCCAATAACGAAGACAAATTGACGGGCTCCTTCAGTAACGAGACGAGCCCGACGTAGATGTTAGCAACGAGAATCCTACGGAACTCTTCCCGGGCACCTTTTGACTGGTAGGCTTCCGATATCGTATCCAGGAAGTCAGAGCCGGCCATCAGCTCCTGACCACATGCTGGTAGCACTGAAGCGAGGATGGTCAGACGGCGGATGTCAGAAATGACTTCGGGGTTTGAGGATGAGTTGGCGGAAGAGAGGTTCTTAATCACAACGGCTTTTGCTCTCTCGATACTGGAAGTGATTTGGCCCTGGTGCAGATCCCAGGCACTTGATAATGACGTCTTCAAAGCCGCGCTAGAAGGGTAACAGCAACATAGATTGCCGAGAAGTCTCCAGTCCAGAATTCCGTCTGGTGGGTTGGAGAGATCGAGCATGTATCTTCTTATTGTCAGAAAGCAGAACTTCCGAAGCTGTCGAGCTTTAGGTCCACTTTGTAGACTGGAATCCCCAGCCGCCGTGTATTGATAGTAAGATGCCAGGAATGGCGGTATTGATGTATCTTCAGCAGCTGCATCCTTAAATGGTTGATCCGATGCATTCAGGCGGATCCTTAACAGGGCCATCCATGCATCTAGACAAACTTCCCAGTCATTTGATGGGATTGTCCTCCGCACTGCGGGGGAGGGCACTGGAGCCAGCGGCGGGAACTCCGCCATTGGGGCGAATTAAGGTGATTATGACTGGGAGGATGGGAAGGATATGAGAGGGAGAAAAGCAAGAACAAAATAAAAAACGCGCAACTACCCGTCAGCTCATGATTATCATCTCGAATGCCATCACTCGGCGGTCTCCTGTCCTCTTTGAGTGATGACATAAGCAAGGAATCAAAGGGGACCTAAAGGGGTTTAGCGTGCGATAGCCGAAGCGCCAAGACTTTCGCACTGAACTTTTTGGATATGGAATTCTCGATCCACATCACCTCAACAGCCATCATCACTTTACCGAGCCTAGTAGTTCAGGTCTTGACGGCAATCGCCTTTTAAATTGTGCGCGTTCCCTGTTTTCCTGCTCTTGAAATTCCCGAATCGAATTACTAACCCGTTTCAGTCCATACATATTCAAGATGTCTTTCCAGAAGCCCGAGAAGGATTTCGGCGAGGGCCCTGTACGTTGCCCCTGATCCAATGGTCACTGTCGCACAATCGCTATTGCACCTCACTGTCGCTGTCGCTTTGTGCAATGTGTCCATGGACCTCGCCAATTGAAGCTATGTACTAATTGCTTCTCGTCCGCTCTACAGAAGGTCCACAAGATCCGCATCACCCTCACCTCCCGCAAGGTTGCCTCCCTCGAGAAGGTCTGCCAGGAGCTGATCGACCGTGCTCGCTCCAAGTCCCTCCAGGTCAAGGGTCCCGTCCGTCTGCCCACCAAGACCCTCCAGATCTCCACCCGTAAGACCCCCAACGGTGAGGGTTCCAAGACCTGGGACAAGTTCGAGATGCGCATCCACAAGCGTCTCATCGAGTAAGTTTCTCCCCGCCCTATTGAATTGCGGCACTATCGCCGTGGCACCTGGCAGATATAGTTGCTGACATTCTATCTTAGTCTCCTCGCCCCCACCGAGACCGTCAAGCAGATCATCATCAACATCGAGGCCGGTGTTGAGGTTGAGGTCACCATTGCCGCATAAATGCGCTAGGCTGGGCTTGCCTCAGGGAGGGATCGTGGATTGGCCAATTTGGAGTGCACAGCGCGACTTTGGAGCTGGTTCTGGCCCGCATGGCTTGTTTCGCGCTGCGGGGGATTCCGTTCGTACCTGAAAATCTTAAAATAAAAAATGGAAACATCTTGAAACACAACATACTCTCAGTAGTGGTCTGTAGACCGTAGGTTGGTTCATTAACGGTGAAAATCAAGCACTTGCAATTGCTACATTCGTAAATTGAGTGTTGTTGAGCTCCTAAGCGCCATTTCCCATGTTCCGCAAGCCCGGAACATGTTGCTTGTTGTGAGAACGATATGCACATCATCTCAGCCCTTGGGATGTGTGGTAAAATAGCAAATAGAGATAAGACAAAGACGAATAAATGCTAGCTCAGCTTTGGGGGTTAAAAGTCGAAACTGAGCCACTCCTGCTTAGGAGGTACTGCAGGAATGTTGCCATCCTTGAAGTAGCCATTTTGAAGGAAAAACTGATATGCCTCAGTGAGTTCTGGGGTGTATTCCTCAGGCTTGCCGTGTGCGTCTTTCAGACTAGCTGGATCAGGGGGCCCGTTAGGGAAGCTGACTCGGACAAATGTTTTGTTGTCTTGTGGGTGAAGGTAGCACGGGTGCTCGTTGATATACTTCACGGGACGGCCCTTCCACATCACCAGCTGTTTGGTGGATGGATTATGTCGAGTTTCGCCCTCCAGTTGTGGAAGGGGGTTGAGGTCTTGAGGATTGTCGATTTTGATGTATGCACGCGGGCCGGCGTTGGTAGTCTGCACCGGCACGCCTTGGACTGCAGGCTGGCCGAAGGGAGACGGGGCAGGTTGTGCAGCAGGCTGGCCAAACCCGCCGGCAGTAGGCTGGTTCTGGGAGACTTGTGTGAAAGGAGAAGCGGTGGACGGAGCGCCGAATGGGGCGGCGGCTGCCGGGGCTGAAGGCTGACCGAATGGTGAGGCGCCTACTGGGGCTGAGGGCTGGCCGAATGGTGAGGCACCTACTGGGGCTGATGGTTGGCCGAATGGGCTCGGGTTGGCAGCTGGCTGGCCAAATGGCGACGGGGCAGGTTGTGCAGCGGCTTGACCGAACGGCGACGGGGCAGCTTGTCCAGCGCTCTGACCAAACCCAGCAGCAGCAGGCTGGTTCTGAGCTAGTTGGGTAAAAGGAGAAGCACCAGATGGAGCACCGAATGGGGCTGCACCTCCTAGGACTGACGGCTTACCGAATGGACTCGGGTTAACTCCTGGCTGAGAAGAAGCTGGCTGGCCGAATGGTGTTTTGTTGAAGGCAGACTGTCCTCCCAAGGTGGAAGTTTGGCCGAAGGCGGAGCCACCCAACGCAGAAGTCTGTCCGAAGGCCGTAGACTGGCCCGTGCCAGACGGCTGTGCCGGTGCTGAGGCTCTACCGAATCCACTTGCCTGGCCAAGACCTGAAGCCTGGCCAAATGTCGAGGAAGGAGCGCCGAAGGCTCCAGGCGCAGGGGCAGGGGCAGCATTTTGCTGGCCGAATGGAGAGGATTGGCCAAATGCCGCTGGAGCTTGGCTCATACTAGTCTCGGTCTTGCCCTCAATGATGTCAAGTCGATTGGGATGTTCATTCCTGCCATCAACGACATATTTGACGGCACCATTCAGGTCATTCAGTGAGATCTCCATCTGCTGTACACACTCTTGCCATAGAGCTGAAGCTTCTTGGACCGCTTCGTTCAGGTTGCCAGCCGCTGCTAATTCATAATGGCGCAGGCGCATCTCTTCCATACTGCGCTCGCGGTGGGCACCACCGAACAGCTGGCGAGCAACATCTTTGTTGGGGGCATATGCGGAGAAAATCCATTCCGGACGTCCCTGCCCTGCGGTCAAGTCTGTCTTGATTTCGCTTGGCTTCACTGCAGCGCTGTCTTTTTGTCAGTTTTGTATCCACTCAAGGCACTGGGAACGTGACTTACTCAGCTGCTTGTTGAGCCTGGCTTTGACCTGTCGTAAACTTGCTGTTAGGCTTTGAAACAGAAAAGAGGCTAGCCTGAAAGGGCGCGTGGTTCATGGGATTTATCATTGGTTTGCGCAGGGGAATATCTCTTGCGCCTCGGGATTTGAAGTAGAATGGGTAAAACCAGGATGGGGATAGTAGAAGCAGAAGAAACATAGAGATCGGACATGTAATCTCAGGATACAATAGACATCTAATAAATAGGCTCTCCAGATTGAGCCGAGCTGAATCAAAACAATTCAATTGAACGTACCTCCAAACCCTCCGGATAAGGCACCGAATCGATTCCCCGATGGGCCAGCAGTAGGTTTGCCAGGGTGCTCGAACTTGCAGCGATCTGAAAATACGTTAGCGGCTTGATTTCTTTATACTCGAGAGATTCATACCTCCGAACTTGCAGCGACCCTGCTGAAAAAAGCTGCATACCACCATCTTCGCGGCTTTGGTGTTTGCTCAACTGCTCCCCTTCAATGCAAGGTCTGTATCTTGATGACCTTTCTCAAATTGATATGCGTCCTCCGATATCCGATCAAGCAATTTGAGAGAAAAGTAAGAACAGGGTTGGTTGTCGCGAAGAGAGAAACGATGAACTCCTGTGGTTGGGACTTTTCACGGAATTGGTCCGTATCTTATCGGAACACCTGCAAAGCAATCCCAGCACTCTTGTAGAGCACAGTTCTTTGATATTCAAGAGTATGAGATTGGGTTTTTATCACTTTCCCCTTTGTCTCGAGATGAGATTCAAGGGAATTTGAAACATAGATGTTCATTTGCCAGGTCCAGCCCACGTAGTGGATGTAATCTAATCAACAAACAGTTATATATATTTGCAGGGAAAGCCAACGATATCTACAATGTATATGATAAAATAACAGAATACTATTAAAAAGCCACTTAAAACCATTAAAACCATTAGATCTAATTGTTATTTCAATTTTGAGTAATCAATGAACATTGAATCCAGTATGGATCAGTCGTTGGGTATATCATCTACGTGTGTCGTATGCTCCCCCGAAGGTCATCCCAATTCAACCCATCAACCTTTTTGCCACCTAAGGATTCAAGCTCCGGGTTGAGTTCACCAGTTCGCCCAGTTGCAAGGCGTCGCATCATCACAGTATCCTTAGCTCCAGGAAGGGTACTGGCATTGCCCTGCAGTAAGACATGCTCAAACCACAGTTCCTCATCCTCGTCAAGCGGAAGACCGACGAGTTCCATCGCACGTCTGCTTCTGGTTTGACCAGGGGCAGCCCTGTGAACAAATTCCACCAACTGTTCAAAAAAGCTCTGACGGAGAGTATCGTCGTACTTGCGCGTGAAGTAGAATGCCTCAGTGACGTTGGATCGGGCGAGTGTGTCGAAGAAAGCTTTGCGGATCTTTGCGCTTGCAAGAGGAGGGGCCGCAGTGAGGTAGTATGCGATTGCGAGGCTGTCATCGTGTTTGGGAAGTTTTGTGAGGGTGAGAACGTAGAGGATCTCATCCGGGAAGGTAGGAATGAGTGAGGGTTCAGTAAGATACTCGACGGCTCGCTATCAGCCATGTAATTGTTAGAAGTGGCCGCCTGAAAAGATCGTTCGCAACTCACTCTGAAATCGAGTCGATCCAAATGCCAAAGACCTTCAATGAAGAAACGGTACTTTTCTGGGAGGTGGCATTGTTGCGCAAACTGAGACGAAGCTTCCGGCGCAGTGCGACAGTCCTTGAGGAGGTAATATATCAAGGACTGTTTGTGATGGATATCAAGTTCCGAAGAAACGATGTGATTGAACAGTGTTCGGAGATCTGAATTGGACTTGGGAGGATAGATCTTGGTCACTACAGAGAAGTGTTGATTAGCACGAGGCTTCAAGCGCAGGGCTTCAAGTCACAATACCTCCTTGGATGCCGAGGAGTCCCAATAGTCGATCGGCAAAGAGCTGGTCCAACGAACGCCGGCTGGAGAGAATCTGGTCAAAAACCTTCGGCTCATATGAATACTTCTTATTAAATGAGAAGACTTGGTCGAAACTCTCCCATGGAGCCATGCTGGGCATAATGAGAGAAGTGATAGGTTATGTGAACAATTCCCAAGCTGATCTCCATGAAGCTCCGCGGAGGAGTAATTACCGTACGGTAAATTACAGCGGGACATGGCGGTGAAGGGCTTGTTGTGGCAGAACGGCGGACACTTTACCCGTTTGGGCACGAGGTAAACAACCCACTTTCAACCGACAAAACCTCCGTCAAAACACTATCGCCCCTCTCCATGCAGCAGACATCCCACTGATCTGCACAACATGGCCTCAGTCATCAAGGGCAGGGCTTCCCGCCGCTCTGCTCCCCGCCGGAGTTATGTCATTGAGGATACATCTGAATCGGAGGACCCCGGAAATGTGACACCAACACCCGATACGCACGATGACGATGATGAAGTGGAGGAGGACTACACCCCAGTCCCTAAGAAAGCAAAGAGGGCATCGAGCAAAAGAATGACACTAGACCCTGTGACACCTTCGACTGTGCGCGCTGCCAGCAAGACCCAAGAAGCGACAACAGATGATTCCGATGCCCTGGACACCGATGCAATGGATACGGACGCGATGGACACCGATGCGATGGACATCGACGAAGAGAATGACGAGAATGACGAGGGCGCTAGTATGGTGTCAATGGAAGGCGATCCCGAATCTCCTTCCGGTAAAGCAGCGTTGAAAAGAAAAAGTATGGCTCATCCCCGCAAGAGTCACGGCTCAATCACACCCAAGCCGGCACAGGGCTCACTTCCAACTCCAGAGCCATCCCGATCGCCAGAGCCTCAAGAAAGAGCGCACCGAGCAAGCGTGCCGCCTTTGTCGGATATCACCGAATCCGCCGTGAACCAGTCACCATCGAAACAATTGGAGGAGCCGAAATCTCAGATTCCCATTATAAACCCGAACTCGACAGTCTTGGAGAGGCCGATGGACATTGTGGCCAAATCCAGAACACAGGCCCCTCAAGCGCCAGAGGAGCCTGCGGCGTCTAAGCCCCGAATGATTATTGAGAACCTTATTCTGACAAACTTCAAGAGTTACGCCGGCCAGCAGATTGTTGGTCCATTCCACGCCTCCTTTTCGTCTGTCGTTGGACCGAACGGTTCCGGAAAGTCCAACGTGATTGACTCGCTCCTATTCGTGTTTGGCTTCCGCGCCAGCAAGATGCGACAGGGCAAAATCTCCGCGCTGATCCATAATTCTGCTCAGTACCCAAACCTTGCGTTTTGTGAAGTCGAGGTTCATTTCTCACAAGTCCTCGATTTGCCTGATGGCGGCCAGGAAGTGGTCCCAGATTCCCAACTAATTGTTTCGCGACGAGCGTTCAAGAATAACACTAGTAAATACTACATGAACAAAAAGGAGACCAATTTCACCGCTGTGACGACCTTCCTCCGTGATCGCGGAATTGATCTCGATCACAAGCGATTCCTGATTTTGCAGGGTGAGGTCGAGTCGATCGCTCAGATGAAGCCAAAAGCCTCCAACGAACATGACGAAGGCCTCTTGGAATATTTGGAAGATATCATCGGAACTTCCAAGTACAAGACACCTATCGATGAAGCGGCAACCGAGCTCGAAGGTCTCAATGATGTATGCGTGGAAAAGAACAACCGTGTCCAGCACGTGGAGAAGGAGAAGGCGGCCTTGGTGGATAAGAAAGACAAAGCTCTGGCTTACATCCGTGAGGAGAACGAATTAGCACAGAAACAATCGGCCCTCTATCAGATCTACATTGATGAGTGCGCTGATAATGTTCGTGTTACTGAAGAGGCCATTCTCCAAATGCAGGAGCTGCTGAACATGGAACTCGAGAAGCACGAGGGAAATGAATCCGGCATCAAAGAACTCGAAAAAGCCTACAAAAAAGGGGTTCGTCATTACGAGTCGATAGAGAAGGAGACTCAAAGCTTGCTCAAGGAGATGGCCAAGTACGACAAGGAGTCGGTTAAGTTTGAGGAGAAGAAGAAATTCTTGCTCGGCAAACAAAAGAAGCTAGAGAAAGCCATGCAGACCAGCCGCCTTGCTGCTTCTGAATGCCAGAGCTTGGTTGAGAAGTTTACCTACGATATTGAGAAGAAGACCGCCGAAACCACTCAATTTGAGAAGGAGATGGTGACAGAAGAGAAGGAACTGAACTCAATTCGTGAGGGGCTCAAAGGCAAGACGCAAGGCCTATCTGATCAGATTACCGAGAAGCAGAAGTCACTAGAGCCATGGAATGCGAAAATCAACGAGAAACAGTCCGCAGTCGCAGTTGCTCAGAGTGAGCTAGATATCTTGCGCGAGCGTGGTAATGCTGGTGCTGTTCTCCTCGAAGAGGCACAGGGCAAGATTGTTACAATCGAAGAAAGTCTGCAAGCCAAGCAAAACGATCTCGAAGAGCGACAAGCCCAGAAAGAGACCTTGGAGTCTGAAGTGGAGAAGCTCAAACACGACTTGAAGAAATACGCCGGCCGTGAGCCTGAAGTTCGTTCGCATGTCTCAAGTGCCCGCCAGAAAGCAGACGAGGCACGAGTCAGTCTTGCAAGCACACAAAACCGTGGAAGTGTCTTGACTGGGTTGATGCGTCTCAAAGAGTCTGGCCGTATCGATGGTTTCCATGGCCGACTTGGTAACCTGGGAACAATTGACGAGAAGTATGATGTCGCCATTTCTACAGCTTGTCCTGCTCTCGACAACATGGTGGTGGAAACCGTCGAAGTCGGCCAACAATGCATCGACTATTTGCGCAAGAACAACCTTGGACGAGCGAACTTCATTCTTCTTGACCGCCTCCCCCGTCGTGATATGGCAACAATCTACACACCTGAAAGTGTTCCTCGTCTCTTTGATCTCGTCAAGCCGAAGGATCCCAAGTTTGCCCCAGCTTTCTACAGCGTGATGCAAAATACGTTGGTTGCGAGGGACTTGGAGCAAGCGAATCGAATTGCCTATGGTGCTCGTCGTTGGCGAGTGGTGACGGAAGATGGTCAGTTGATTGATGTGTCAGGAACAATGAGCGGTGGTGGCACCCGTGTGGCCCGAGGCGGTATGTCCTCTAAGCAAGTCGCCGACACCACAAAGGAGCAGGTGTCTCGCTTGGAATCAGATCTCGAGGATCTGGAAAGGAAATTCCAGGCCTTCCAGGACAAGCAGCGTCATGTGGAGGCTCAGATGAAGGAAAGATCGGAGGAAATCCCACGCTTGGAGACCAAGATCCAAAAGATCATGATCGAGATAGACAGCACCAAGCGTAGTCTTGCTGATGCCCAGCGACGCGTAAAGGAGCTGGGTGCACAGCACCAGCCCTCTGATTCGGATGAAGGCCAAATTGCTGCTCTCGAGAAACAGATAGCCAAAGCCCAAAAGGAGATCGCTAAACTTAACGACGAGAAAAGTGGCATCGAGGAAGAGATCCAGATCTTGCAGAGCAAGATCATGGAGGTCGGTGGTGTTCGCCTTCGCGGCCAAAAGGCGAAGGTGGATGGCTTGAAAGAGCAGATTGGCATGCTTGCCGAGGAGATTTCAAACGCGGAGGGGCAGCAATCCAAGAACGAAAAACTCATCAAGAAGCACACCAAAGCCCGCGATGTTTCAGAGAAGGAGATTGCTCAGATTACCGATGAGTTAGAGAAACTTGAAGAAGATGTTGCCAACCAGACCAATGAATCTGCCGACTGGAGACAGAAGGCTGACGAAGCCCAGGAGGTAACTTATCCAAGATCCTCGGGTATACTGAATTTACATGCTGACCATCCTTAGGCTTTGGAATCTAAAAAGGGCGAGCTGAAGGCCATGAAGGATGAGCTTGACGCAAAGGTAGCTGAGCTTAATGAGACAAGAGCTGCTGAGATCGAGATGCGCAATAAACTGGAAGAGAACCAGAAGGCCTTGGCCGAGAATCAAAAGCGCAGTCGTTACTGGGAGGAGAAGCTTTCAAAGCTGACCGTCCAGAACATCAGCGATATCGGTGAAGAGCAGGAGCCTACCGAGCTTCAGATGTACACCAAGGATGAGTTAGAGGCTATGAATAAGGATTCTCTGAAAGCCGTCATTGCCGCTTTAGAGGAGAAGGTTCAGAATGCCTCTATCGATTTGTCAGTTATCGAGGAGTACCGTCGCCGAGCCGCCGAGCACGAATCGCGCTCAGCGGATCTGACCACCGCTTTGACATCACGAGATGCTGCCAAGGCACGCCTGGATGGCCTTCGATCTTCTCGCTTGAATGGATTCATGGAAGGATTTGGTATTATCTCTCTGCGCCTCAAAGAAATGTACCAAATGATCACCATGGGCGGTAACGCCGAGTTGGAGCTCGTCGACTCGTTGGACCCCTTTTCCGAAGGAATCTTGTTCTCGGTCATGCCTCCCAAGAAGAGCTGGAAGAACATTGGTAACCTGTCTGGCGGAGAGAAGACTCTGTCTAGTTTGGCATTGGTCTTCGCTCTTCACCACTACAAGCCTACTCCGCTTTATGTCATGGACGAGATCGATGCCGCCCTGGATTTCCGAAACGTAAGTTGGTCTTATACGACTTGTAACAGACACGTGTGCTAACTTCTTTTAAGGTTTCCATTGTCGCCTCGTACATCAAGGAGCGAACAAAGAACGCCCAATTCATTGTCATTTCATTAAGAAACAATATGGTAGGTGTCGTTGATTTTCGCTTCCAAGTTGACATAGCTAACTAACATGTTCTTTAGTTCGAGCTCGCTGCCCGACTCGTCGGTGTCTATAAAGTCAACCACATGACCAAGAGTGTGACGATCGAGAATCGGGATTATATCACTGGTCGATAATGACTGAAGACGATCATGTTGTGGTTCTTAACTTTCAGGCTCTTACCTGAATGAATATGGTTGTATGCTGCTGTTTTGAATGATATCATGGGCCGGGGAGTTTTGGACATCTTTCCATTTACAATCATGCTTGCGCGCTTTAGAAATGAGAATTTGAGACATGTTGACGTGTATATTTCCCTTCTTTGTTGGTGTTATACCACTGGATTGGTATTCACATAAATCAAACAACCTACATATATTTACCTTTGGTGCATTCAATATAAGTCGCCGTGACATAGAATGACACCGGACCAGCTAAACACAGCGTAACATTGGCCGCACCGTCGACAGTATCCGGCCGCCCAAGAGGGATATCCGATGTATCCCTAAACTTGCGCGCGTTCGCAGGGATACCCGTGACGATGTTCTGCTCAGCAAGCATTACCTTCTCCTCTGTGGGCGGCTTGGTCAACCGCGTATCCATCCAGCCATAAGCGACGGCGCTGCAGCGGACAGTGTATCTACACCATGTTAGCAAAGCTCATCTAGCATACAAACTGTCTACACACACCTAGCTCACTCCGCCACGACGGTCTTGGTGAGTCCCAAAATCCCCGACTTCGCTGTCGAATAGCTAATCTGACCCATTTGGCCGTGCAGTCCAGACGTCGAAGACACATTGATGACTGTCTTGGGTGTATCGGCAGTCTGAATATCTATCCAGTGCGCAGACAAGGCGTGGATCATTCAAAAAGGAACGTAGTTGTGGATTTCCATGATCACGTCCCATGGCGCTGTCATAACACCACTCTTTTATCGCAGGCATAGGAATTCCTCAATAGCAAGAAATCTGCACCTTGGTCATACTCGCAGCTTGTCCTCAGACGATCAACAATCCTCCGTTGGAATTTATAATGGATACTGTCAAGTTGTAGTCTTTCATGCAGTAAACATAACCTTCTGCAACATCTTCAGCTTGCCCAATAGCCCCTGTCACAGAAGAACTGCTGATAGCATCAATGCCTCTCTTTCGTTCGTCAGGAGTAGAGTACCAGCGAGCTATGAGGTCTGTGTCAACTGGGCCGAGACAGACCAGGTTTACGCGCACTGGCTTCATTTCAACCGCTAAACTTCGAACCATGCCCTCCAATGAGCCGGTATAGGCGCCTGGCGCATTCCAATTAGGGTACGGACGATAGGCGCTGATTCCGGACGTGAACGAAATACTGGATGCCGGACCTGGTGCCATGTGCTTCATCGCATGTTTTGCTATCAACAATGGGGCAAAGAAACGCACTAGGCCAGTTTGATGAAGTTAAAGTCGATTTGTGAAAAAGGCTTCGGGTTCGGATGAACGCCAGCAGTAAAAATGACGTGGTTTAACTGCCGTGTCCCCTCCAACGTGGCGGCATTGAAAAGACCCTCGATGCTGGATTCAAGTAGGCTCTCTTGCTTCAAGTCGCACGCGAAGCCGGTGATTTGGCAAGCAGTCGATAGATATGATTCGCGAAGGCGTGACGTGGAGGCAGAAACACGGTCAAGGTTGAAACTCGAAAGAATGACTGAAGCAGCGCTATGTTTAACCACGGCTTCGGCGACGGCGTAACCAACACCAGCAGTGCCACCAATAATCAGGACATTTGCTCCAGCAAGCTTCGAGATATATTTATCCCGAGGCTGCATTTTTAAGGTGACGAAATAAGTTTTTGGATAAGGGGGTCGTTCGTTTCAGATTTGTGATGGTGCCGGTGAAATATCCGCCACTTCAAATAAACTATTCATTTCGGACCGTATAGAACCTAAAGCTATCTTCAAGTAGTCCGCGTCACGACCGATTCATTGCATACTTCACTAGTGACAAACGCTTACAAACGCTTCACGACTTGTTACAAACCCGCTGCCCATGGCTTAACTAACTTATGATCGGCCGGATAGATTGATAAATCTATAATACAAGTATCGTGACCGGCAACCCTTCCTCCGGCAGCGTAGGCTCCGCCATAGAGCCACAGTAACCAATCATATATATAGATAAGGGCCGCTTTATAGACTACATACCTAGGTAGGCGACGGATGGGTATAGATTCCGTCCCGGATACTTTATGACTCAAAATATAGGGGTAAGGTTAGTTTTCTAGCTTACCAATTCACATCATCCTCTTATAGTTATATAATAAAGACAAACCTCCTAAGTTCCGTTCTCCTTTTACTATAAAGTAAAAGCTACCCTAGAACACCCTTTCTGCACCCACAAGCTCTATCTTGGTATCTTGCTTTATCTCCTTGGCCTTGCTTCACACATATTTCAAGACGTGTTGAAGATGGTTGTCGTAGCTGTTGCAGGTGGTAGCAGTGGCCTTGGTCTGACTATTGTTCAAGCCTTGACAGCTCAAGGGAAACATGAAGTTCTTATCTTGAGCCGAAAGGTGAGATAGTCCTCAAAACTTACCTCTAATATTTCAGTAGCTCATCATACGCAGGAAAACACAGAACTTGGAAAAAGGCTTGGAGCTCTTGTTGTCGCCGTTGATTATAGGAGCGCCAAATCTATCGAATCAGCTCTGGAAGCCAACAACGTCGATACTGTTATATGCACAATCAGTTCTCAGGGCGATCTTGAACCGGAACAGAATTTGATCCTTGCTGCGGACAGATCGCCTATTACCCGAAGAATTATACCTAGTATTTTTGCTGGTTTTACATATCCCGTCAAGTAAGTATTTTTGTGCATAGGGAAAGGAGATCAAAGTCTAACCCCTCCTCAGATACCCGGACAGTTCTCCTGTTGCGAAAGCCAAATCTGAAGCCATCAAGGCCGTCAAAAGGACATCATTGGAGTATACTGCGATCTACAATGGCATATTCCTTGATTACTACGCCGCGCCGCAATTGAAGGCCAATATACCACCTTGGCCATTGTTTGTTGATATACTCCACGAATCAGCGGCGGTCCCAGGTTCAGGGGATGATCTCGTCGTTTTCACTCACAGCACTGACATCGCTAAGTTCGTTGTTTCGAGCTTAGATCTTCCAAAATGGCGAGAGGAAAGTTATATTCTAGGAGAGAAATTGACATGGCATGAGATTATCAAACTGGCGGAGGATGCGAAAGGTATATAACACGCTCTCTTTCATCGATAAAATATCTGCTGACAGATCCATATTAGGATCCAAGTTTAATGTGATGCATGACTCCGAGACGGACTTGAGGGCTGGAAGAGTTTCGATGCTGCCTAGTTACGGCAAAATGTTCCAACTTCCTGAAGCTGATATTCAAGATCTGCTCTCCACTGCTGGAATGTGGTTCGTGAATAAAGAGCTTGATTTGAATCCCGAACATGCGTTGAACAAGAAGTTTCCAGAAATCAAACCGATGAAGGTGAAGGATTTCTTGGAATCGTCTTGGAATGGCACTGATGCAACTGTATTGGATATTAAGATGTAAAATTTCGGACGCCCTGTTTCAACGGGTTTAATCCCGTCCTCGGTATTGAATTTTATTGCTCGCTCTCTACGTCGAGGCTTCATTTGTGCCGAGCAATCATGGGGGTCCACTCAAGCTAGTTGGAATTTGTAGATCGCAGTGAATATAAGATTGACATATATATTGCTCAATATCTTCAAAAGCAATTGACCTCATTTTGTCCAAGAAATGTCGTGGTATATCCCTACCTAACAATCTGAAGCCTATGATATATATTTCTACTAGCGCAATACATACACCAAGGGGCGACGAGTTGAAACTGAGGTTTCAGTTATGCATGAAAGGGGCAGAGCCTACCTATGCAAGGCTTAATTTGCAGCCGAGAGCCGAACTACCAGGCGGGCCTTTTGCCTTCATTTTGTTATCTGTATAGATCGTCATCCAACTTTCCACCTATTTGCTTATTGCTGCTAATTATGGGACTCCCATGTTCAAACAAGCTCTAGAAACCCCTAGCATATCTTCAAACGTAGCATTCCCACAGACCCTTGCCGATCAAACGTATCTTTACAAATATAACCACAATATCTTCTCTACTACATAAACCCTTGCTAACAACTCATTTGCATGCACAATTTCAAGGATACCCCTTATGAAATACAGAATCCCCGGAAACAGCGATGCTGGGGCCACGAACTCCTGGCTCTTAAGGTAAATTCTCGGGACTTATCCTATCGCCACGCATGCTGTGTAAGTTTTTAATTTCCATCGTCGTCGTGCTTTCCGGATCTCAACATGACAAGTAATGGAAATGAGATATTGTGCATCTCCACGACCGGCTTAGAGAGAGGCGAGAAACAAAAACCGGTTCGAACAAGATGATGTTATGACGAATGGTGGCACGGTTGCATGTGAGCATAGAGAAAGGCATGGGAGACTAGGGAGGTCCCGCCTTCTCCGGAACACGTGCAGTTGGACAAGGATTGGTCTTTAGGTGTATTAGAGTAGGTTGGATAATGTTTCACGCGTGAGTCTGTTCAAGCTGAGCCGCAAATTTATTACCTGCTATCACCACATCAAAACATACTACAAAGGTAGCTTATTTAGTCTCTCGGGCGTTCTCTGGGCATTTATCCACCACATGGCCCGAGTTGCCCGTTGCATTCCTTCCACGCCTATCATGTTAACAAGACTTTTCATGTTTGACATGCATACCTAGGCAAATGCATGTGGGTTTGCTGCAAGGCTTGGTACTCCGTATACAGCCGGCACAATATCCTCAATTGACAGAATCCAACCTGGAATTACGAGGAGAATGGAAGTAAGCAGCCAATAATGGCACCAGACAAGGATCACTTGAACTAAATTCCAAGTTTGTGCTGTGTGAAAGGAAGATCGCTGCTCTTTCAGGCCGCCAAGACTGGCGTCCCCTTGACGTCAGAAGCGGGATGAGAAGAGGTTGGGGTGAGCAATCAAGAGGGGAATTGTGAGACTGGATTCCGGTTTTAATAAGACCTGAGGCTCTGGCTGTGAACAGTTTTTGTTTCCATCTTTTGTCATCTGTTGTGTGGGTGATTTTGTCTCAATTATCTATACCAACACTTCTTTTTGGGTGCTGGAGTCAAGATCGCATCAAGACCCACTGTTCTGCACACAATCGCCAACCACCAGAAACCGAGAAAATCACGATATCAGAACAAGAACATTTTGACACGCTGCAGTCATGGTAAGTGCATTCCTTGGACGCTGAAGCCCTCTTCCGTGGGTCACCCAGCAACCCTCATGCGGGCCGAACAAAGAACCACGGATCGCATACTGTAGAACTCATAAAAGCTAATCCTTTCGCTTCCCTAGGCTCCTATAAATTCCATCCTCGAGCCCCGGCAGTCAAGCGGCGACAACTGCCCAAGCACAATCAGCGGCGGGGGGATTGCAGGTATCGTTATCGGTTCGATCGCAGGGACCCTCCTCATCCTCTGGCTGTGGCGAATATTTCGACTTCCCGGTGCGTGGAGCGGCGGCGATACACCGGACGTCGGCTACCGGCCTCCAATTACTCGCAGCAGCACGAGTAGCCGCGGACGGCGACATCATCGTCGTCCGTCCGGGACGTACGTCGACTATGTCGAGAAGCCGACGAGTGTACGCAGCGCACGCCGATATAGGGATCGCGATGATTTGCGCCGGCCGGCTAAGGTTTATATGACGGAGCCGTGAATCATGGTCGGGATTATACGTAAGACATGTAGAATGACTGGAGTGGGTTAATTGGTATTTTGGCCATTGGTCTCGAACAGATCAATTGGCACTGGCGTTTGCTATTTTTGGTTTCATCATTTCTCGAGGAAATGTGGGATCCAGGGATGGATGTGTTTGAGGGAGCCAAGTAATTATGAGACATGACATATATATGATTTGATGAGAACTAATTCTTGAAATGGAGTACCTGGTCTGTGCGTGTGATGCTTCCTTTGTTTTGAATGATGCAAGAATCAGATCTGGATGCCAACCCCCTGAGTTCGGATCCCACCGTATGGTTAAGAACAATCTGGTTGAGTCCTTGGAATGCACACTGCACATGTGGCGGGATGTCTAAATAATCCAGTTGGACAAGTTGCTGACGGGTACCTGAGTGGTGAGGGACTCCGTTCCTTGGCCTGCTCCAGTAAGACTTGGCTGTGTCACCAGCGAGGAGTGGCGTTCGATCGATCAGAATTACCGAAGTCACCCCTAATAGCATTCTGAGCCGGAGAGTTGAGTCCACCCAAGGGCGATCGCACGAGAACGCCGCACTCGTCATTTTGTTTGTGACGAATGAAAGGGCAGAGAAGTATGGTTTGTTGAGCTAAAATCGTTCGCCAGATAGGAAAGCGCGTTAATAAGCGAGTGGGCAGGTAAGACAGGGGAAAGGGCCCACAGGGGGGAAGAAGAGAGAAAAACAAAAACTTGGGTTTGACATCTCCACTCATTCACCTGGTGGACTTGGCATTTTGGTTTTGTTCCTAGACCCCCTGAGCGGAGTTTCGCTAAAATTTACTCCGTAGTTTGGTACGGATTGAAGAACTGGAGGTTCTCGTTATTGCCCTGTTATGATTTTCAAAATGTTATGTTTAAGGGGGCACATGCATGATGATCTGTACGGAGTGCAATCTTGGAGGTATTGTCCCCGTGGCAATTGTTATCAATTGGGCTCTGATCTTCATTGCATAGGTGATTCTCCCTCGAATGGCACGTGCACTAAACAGTCTTATCCTGTATTTGAGTCAAGGGATGTCTGTAGATAAGATGAAGAGCAAATTAGTGTTGGGTCTCAGATATGAAACTGTTAGAGAGTCTGGAGTAAGTGTGTATTATTATACCTGGCAAGCTATTTCAAGCCATTTCAAGCCATTCCAAGGTCTGTTCGATCCTTATCAGGGTTCTTGGCGATCATCCAATCGGTGGGTAAGTTATAACCAATCAGGATCGTCCGCCTAAAAGTGGTTTGAGTAGAAAACACTGGGCGAACCCAAAGGGGCTAAGTCTGACGCACAGGGCTCCTGGGGGATAGCTCAATGAGGTTAGTGGCATGCACCAAAATGGAACCCTCTAACCTAGATTTGGCTAGCAAACTCGACCATAATCTCTGCAGGTCTCCCCTTACGCTCGATGGAGTACAACGGTGCACAGAAAAATAGTGAGGCCCAAAACACCGCTAGCCCATAATGCAAGTCCACTCTGCGTCTAAATTGGACCGTCATGGCTGATTTCCCCCCGTGTTTTTGATGTTCCTTTTTCAACCCTCTCTTAGGATATTGCTGCTGGCAGACTGCCTTTCCACTCATTACCGTGCACTCGCACATCCACTCTTTATTGAATCTCGAGTAATCTCGAGTCCGTTCTTTTTTTTTTTTTTTGGCAGTCCAACAGCAGCACCTTGAGCAATCGTTCATATAGATCAACCCCCCATGTTTTTCTCTCGCATTGCCGTTCTGGCAGCTTTGGCTAGCTACGCCACTGCTCAAACTTCGACCGACTGTGACCCGACGAAGAAGTCATGTCCTGCGGATCCTGCCCTCGGAACCGAACACACATGGAACTTCAACACCACCTTGGACGAAAAGATCTGGAATATGGCCACCGGAACCTACAATTACGATGACAATGGAGCCAAGTTTACCCTCTCCAAGGAGGGAGAGTCCACCCTTCTACAGTCCAACTTCTATATCTTCTTCGGTGTCGTCGAAGCTCACGTCAAGATGGCCAAGGGCGGAGGTCTAGTCAGCAGTGTGGTTTTGGAGTCCGACGATCTGGATGAGATCGATTGGGAGTGGGTGGGGTACAACACTAGTGAAGTGCAGTCCAACTTCTTTGGCAAGGGTAACGATACCACCTTCGATCGCGGCGGAAAGCACTATGTCGCGAACGCAGACACCGAGTTCCACAACTACACCACATACTGGGACCAGGATAAACTCCAATGGTGGATTGACGGCGAGATGGTTCGCGAGCTGGACTACTCCGAGGAGTCAACCTTGTTTGGCGAAAACTACCCCCAGACCCCCTGCCGTGTCCAATTCAGTCTCTGGCCTGCTGGTCAAGAAAAGGCGGCAAAGGGTACCATCGAGTGGGCTGGTGGCCTTGTCGACTGGGATGCTGCCCCTTTTAGTATGACCCTTGGCAAGCTGCGCGTTAAGGATTTCCACTCTGGCAAGGAGTACAGCTATGGGGACCACTCGGGTTCCTGGCAGAGCATCAAAGTCGAGGAGTAAGTGGGCCCAGATTAGAATCACCCGGGACATCACTAATGCGACTTAACAGTGGAAACTCGACTGTACTGGAGGAACTAAACAAGCCAGCGCCGAAGTCTCTATCAGAGAAATGGGACGATCTCGGCGAGGGAGCCCACATTGGAGTTTACGTTGGCGCAGCCGCCGCCGCCGCTCTTTGTATCGGAGCCTTCCTATTCTTCTGCCTGCGCCAGCGCCGCAAGGGCCGTCTCGAGAACGCGTTGGGTAACAACCCGGTTCCTCTTAACCGTGATGAGATGCAGAACTTCCAGAAGGACTGGAGGCAGAGTGAATGGAAGCATAATGGTGGTTACCAGCAGGTTAGCAACTAGCTTGCTTGTCAAGTACACACGCTAGTAACCCCACGAACTTGCTTTTGGACCTCTATAATGAATAGTTCCGTGATTCTTTTTCCTTTCGTTTCGCGCCGTGCCCGGTATTACAGGTTGCTGCCATGACGACATCAATTTTGTGCAACTGTGATGGCCGACGGAGTCGGAATAATGTGCCTTTTCGTTTCGTCCCGGCTTACCGGCTTACCCTTTTTTTTTTACTATCCTCTTCTAGCCTCTGTCTCGTGTATACGCAGAGCCACTCGCTCCGATCGCCCGTTCTGTTGATATCCCCTTTTTGATCCTCGGATCATAATTCTCTTCGTTGGCGTTGTTCAGGTCGCCGTTTGCTTGGTTTGCAATCTGCTTCTCAACACATCTATGTAAATATATTACCCTATAAAACGGGATTTCTTTCAATCCCTTTTACTTCTTGATCTTAGTGGGAAATTGTCCAACTAGTGTCTACCTAGGATGCATCTTATATCCTTGTGGTAACCTATATGATATTTGACCATACCAGGGTTGTTTAGAACTTTGAATATTTGTGGGTTTGTTGAAGCCACTAGATGACAGCTCACCTCGCAACCTTGGAATGCAGCCCGTATCACAAATAGTGTATCGCACGTGTCTTATGCGCCTCGGGGGATATGGGCGACGAAGTGTGCCACACGGGACTTTGGTCGTATAGATCAGGCCAAAAAAAAAAAAAAGAAAAGAAAAGAAAAAACGTCTTATACAACACAATGTAATATTTTGGCGGCAGTAATACCTTAAATAGGACTGAAGTCCTTGGTGGCAAAGGTCGGCCCCGGTAGGGGATTTTCTGATGCAGGATGATCTCACCAAGTTGCACATTCTCGAGGGATCAGTTGTATAAATAAACCCGTCATCTTATAGTTAAAACGTGGATCTAGCAATGGGAGTCGGGGCGACTATGGACCGGCCCTAGTTAGAGTACTTATTACTCAATAGGGACATTCCTGCGAGGTGGATCTTTAAGGCTGTGGATGTAGTGGGTTTATTTGTGCCGAGGTTCCTTTATAGACCATATCGGCGGGATTCGTGTCAAATCCGACCGGTGGTAGAACTAAAAATTGTGGCTGAGGAGATCTCGGCATGGCCGATTGATACACGACGATCATGATTGGACTTGGATCAATATTTTGTAGTGGGACCGAGTATTCCAACACAGCCCTGTAGATGAAACAAATGAAATAAGTCTAAGTTATGTAACTTGTGCAGTTATAAGATAACTAACTTGCTGTTATGATTGCACTTCATATAAAAAAAGGACCGAGGCTTGTTAGTCGGTGAGGTCACCCTTTTCTTTAAATAAACCTTTAACTCTCTCTGCTTCATTCTTTAATATTCTAACCCTAGTCTCATTCTACTGCAGCTCCCCAGGTACATTTCGATATATTGTACACAGTCGGTGACCAGGATTACAAGGCAACCAGGTTTAGTGGGATAAATCCTCGCAACCCCGCGTTCCAAGATTTACTATCCTACATTCTTGAGCACCTATCCCACTTTGTGATCTACACGAATTCAACACCCAATTATCCAAATTGATCCCACGTCTCAAGTGTACGGCGGACATCATCCGCCATGGCCTCGAACAAGCAGGTCCCAATTCCGGGCCCCAAGGGCGTCCCATTCTTGGGAAACATTTACGACATCGAGCCAGAGGTGCCCGTTCACAGCTTCGAGCGGATGGCCGATAGCTATGGTATGGATCTAGACCTACACGACCGGAAATATTTACTGCGAATCAAAGGACTAATTTCTGTGTTTATCACCCTTCAGGTCCAATCTTTCGATTAACTACCTTTGGCAGAGCCCGAGTCTTTATCAGCTCCCACGAGCTGGTAGACGAAGTCTGCGATGAGGAGCGCTTCGCCAAAATGGTCTCCGCTGGTCTGGCTGAGATCCGCAATGGTGTTCACGACGGTCTCTTCACGGCGAACTATCCCGGCGAAGAGAACTGGGCTATTGCGCATCGCGTTCTTGTTCCTGCGTTCGGTCCGCTCATGATTCGCGGCATGTTTGATGGTGGGTGTCCATTTCCTGTCGGGTTTGAGACGTATGCGCCATCGAATTAGAGGAACGGTTTTCGCTAATGTCTGGTATTAGAAATGTATGATATTGCAACTCAACTGGTTATGAAATGGGCTCGGGTTGGCCCAGCAGTTCCTATCCAGGTTACAGATGACTTCACCCGCTTGACGCTGGATACTATTGCTCTTTGCGCTATGGGCACTCGCTTCAACTCGTTCTATCATGATGAGATGCACCCATTCGTCGAGGCAATGGTTGGTTTGCTAGCTGGGTCTGGAAATCGGGCTCTTCGGCCTGCTTTGTTCAACAGCTTGCCCACTGCGGACAACAACAAGTACTGGAGTGATATCGAGTATCTGCGGAACCTAGCTCGGGAATTAGTGGATTCGAGGAAGGAGAACCCAGTTGAGAAGAAGGATCTCCTCAATGCGCTTATCCTAGGTCGCGATCCGCAGACTGGCCAGGGTATGACAGATGACTCGATTGTAGACAACATGATCACATTCCTCATCGCTGGTAAGTGGACGAGTCCTGCAACGAGTGTATTACCTGGGACCTAACTTGGAACTTTATAGGACACGAGACCACATCCGGCATGTTGTCATTCCTGTTCTACTATCTTCTCAAGAGCCCCAGCGCATACAAGAAGGCCCAAGAGGAAGTCGACCGTGTGATTGGCAAACGCAAGATCACCGTCGATGACATGTCCAAGCTGCCATACATCACCGCTGTGATGCGCGAGACGCTGCGTCTGAAGCCAACAGCCCCGATGATTGCCCTGCACCCCCACCCCACCAAGAACCAGGAGGATCCTGTTACACTTGGAGGTGGCAAATATGTGCTTCACAAGGACGAGACCATTGCGCTCGTGCTTACAAAAATGCACCGCGACCCCAAGGTCTACGGCCCCGATGCCGATGAGTTCAAGCCAGAGCGCATGCTCGATGAAAACTTCGAGAAGTTGCCCAAGAACGCCTGGAAGCCATTTGGAAATGGTATGCGAGGCTGTATTGGACGGCCGTTCGCATGGCAGGAGGCTCTCCTAGTTGTTGCGATTTTGCTGCAGAACTTCAACTTCCAGATGGACAACCCCAGTTACGACCTCCGCATTAAACAGACACTTACCATCAAGCCTAAGGACTTCCACATGAAGGCTACCCTGAGAGATGGCCTTGATCCCACACAGCTCAGCACTACACTCAGTGGCTCTGCAGTTGCGCCGACCGAAACTGGCGTCGGCAGCCGGGATCGCAAGCCCAAGGTCGCACCCGTGGATGGAAAGCTGAAGCCAATGCACGTGTTCTATGGCAGTAATACGGGAACTTGTGAGGCATTCGCCCGCAGGCTTGCCGATGATGCCACTGCGTACGGATACGCTGCGCAGACAAGTTCTTTGGATTCAGCGATGCAGAATATCCCCAAGAACGACCCCGTGGTCTTTATCTCGGCTTCTTACGAGGGACAACCTCCAGATAACGCGGCTCACTTCTACGAGTGGCTCACTGGGCTGAAGGATAACGACTTGGACGGTGTCAACTACGCAGTGTTCGGCTGTGGCCACCATGATTGGTCATCCACCTTCTACCGTGTGCCCAAGGCCATCGACGAACTCGCTAAAAATAATGGAGCTAACAAGCTCTGCGATATTGGCCTTGCCGACGCCGCAAACTCAGACATGTTCACCGATTTCGATGGCTGGGGTGAGACCTCATTCTGGCCAGCCGTGATGGCCAAGTTTGGTGGCGCTAGCCCTGATAATGCTGCCAAGCCAAAGTCTTCATTGAAGGTCGAAGTGAGCTCGGGTATGCGCGCATCCACTCTGGGTCTCCAGCTTGAAGAGGGTTTCGTCATTGAGAACAAACTTCTTACGCCACCCGGAGGCCCAGCCAAACGAGTTGTTAAGTTTAAGCTGCCATCGGACATGACCTACCAGTGCGGTGATTACCTCGCAGTACTACCCGTGAACCCAAGCTCAGTAGTCCGTCGCGCAATCCGCCGCTTCGACCTCCCCTGGGACGCCGTAATCAAAGTCCAGAAGCCCTCAGGCTCAACAGCGTCCCCCTCGATCCCGATCGACACACCGATCTCAGCCTTTGAGCTCCTATCCACATATATCGAGCTCTCCCAGCCCGCCTCAAAGCGCGACATCAATGTCCTAGCTGAAGCTGCCATCTCAGACGCGGAACTCCAAGCTGAACTACGCTACATCGCCTCGAGCCCCAGCCGCTTTACCGAAGAAATCGTCAAGAAGCGCGTCAGCCCACTGGATCTCCTAACCCGCTATCCCGAAATCAAGCTCCCTATCGGCGATTTCCTCGCAATGCTCCCACCCATGCGCGTGCGCCAATACTCCATCTCCTCATCACCACTAGTCGACCCATCCGAATGCTCGATAACATTCACCGTACTCAGCGCCCCGGCACTCGCCAACACCACCCCCGAAGGCACCGAAAGCATCGAGCAATATCTGGGCGTCGCATCAAACTACCTCTCCGAGCTCCAAGCCGGCGAACGCGCACACATCACCGTCCGTCCCTCACACTCAGGCTTCAAGCCACCAGTAGACCTCGAAACACCGATGATCATGGCCTGCGCGGGTAGCGGTCTCGCACCATTCCGCGGCTTCGTCATGGAACGCGCGGAGAAAATCCGCGGCCGTCGCAGCTCACCCGACTCCGATGAGCTACATGACAACGAGGCTGTCAAGCCTGCCAAGGCAGTCCTGTACATTGGCTGCCGCACACAGGGCCAGGACGATATCCACGCTGCTGAACTTGCAGAGTGGGCTGCGCTGGGCGCTGTCGATGTTCGCTGGGCATATAGTCGGCCCGCTGACGGAAGCAAGGGACAACATGTTCAGGATCTCATGCTTGAGGACCGTGCGGAGCTGGTGAAGCTGTTTGATGAAGGTGCGAATATTTACGTTTGTGGTAGTACTG